TGGTCCATTAGTCCTTTGGACTAATCTTTTCCTTGTATCCTGTTCTCTTCATTCTCCCTTGCTCCCGAAGGGATGAGACCAGTGGAGCATCTTAGCTGGCTGCTCACAGGCTTTTAAGACCCCAGACGCTACCCACCAAGGTAGAATGTAGAACAATGTCTTTATAAAACTGTGTTATGCCAGTTGAGCTAGATGTTCCCCGAGACCATGGTCCCCACAGCCCTCCACCCAGCAATTCAAATTCAGTCACTCAGGGAGTTTGGATGTGTCTGTGGAGCTTCCATGACCTTTTCTTGTACACGTAGCGCTGGCTTCCTCAGTATTGTATACTGTCTTACCCTTCTCCAAAGTTACCACTTACCTATTGTCTATTTAGTATTTCCCCCCAACCCCTCCCATCCCTCGTAACCAACAAAGATTGTTACTTTTTGTGCGTAAACTTTTTCATGAGTTTTTACAATAGAGGTCTTGTACAATATTTGTCCTTGACTTATTTCACTCAGCATAATGTCCTCCAGTTTCATCCATGTTATGAGATGCTTCACAGATTGATCATTGTTCTTTATCGTTGCATAATACTCCATTGTGTATATGTACCATAGTCTGTTGTCATCTGTTCTTGAAACTGAAATGTGTAAGAGAAGTGCTTTTCATGATCTTGATAAAAGATTATCTTTCTCAGATTATTTTTAGTATTGCATAACTGTGCAAGCCTTTAAAAGAAATTTGAGATTTATTTAAGAAATTATTTCAGAATGTAGTAAAAATAAGAGACAATATGAAGAACGTAATCACTGTCACTGAATTGTACATGTAAAAAAATGTTGAATTGGCTAATTTTTTGTTATATAAATTTTTACCAGAATTAAAAAAAAAAAAAAACAGGGAGATGTAACAATTACCACCTAAATAATGTTTGACAATATTATATCCTAGTGAGCGAGAAACACTACAAGAGAGAAATTTCTTTTCAGATAAAAAGCAAACTAACAAAGTCATAACATAAAAAGGATTGAAACACTTCAATAATCCTTTGTTTCACAATGCAATTTTATTGTCTTGTGGTAAATTAAGGATCATTTAAAAATAAATCTATTCAACCTTTGCAGGAATGAAACTTTACAATACACTCAATTAGTGATAACATTTAGTTCCCACAACTGCTATATTTTTGTTTTTACTTACCTTTAAAGCTTTTCTGAATCAGAATTTTATAAGTCAGAGTATGTTGTAGTTATGATTAGGTTACAGAACTGTTACCAGCTTCTGATTTCAAACATTTTGTGATATGTGCCTAGACCATGATGCCTTCTTGTCATAGGAATCAAAAGAGTGGGGTCTGAGTGGAATCTTGTGTATCTAGTCAGAAAAATCTTTATCTTTAGAGCTGTAAAATACCTCAAGAAATCACCCGGTTTTATTTTACTTAACTGTATTTTCTTATTTGTATTACCTTCAGGCAGATAATACATTAGTTTTTTAATTTTAAGGGTATGATCTTAGACTGAGGTTGCCCAGTCTCAGACTTTTGGAAGACCCACATAGCAAGAATTAGAAATAAAAATGGCTTACTGCTTCTTGAGATAGTAATTTCTACTACACTGTATTGTCCCAATAGTTATTTTTACCGTTTTGTGACTTTTCCACTTAAAATTTAACTACCCCAAGGAATTTTTAAATTACAATGGCTTCAGGGATCCATTTGGCAAAAGTTATTTTGTAGCAATGGGAACAGAAAAATATCTTTCAAAACTGGATAAAGAGCAGTCTGTAGGGATTCCAAATTGTAGAGATTAGTAGCTAGGAGTATGTTACAGCATTTCTCCAGTAGTTATTATTACCTGGGAGGACTTTAGGTTTAGGAGGAAAAGTAAACAGTCTTAGCAACCACACAGCCAGGCATCATGGAAAATTGGAATGTTTTTCAGGCCACTTATTTGTTCTAGGGACTAACCTTCCCAGTAGAGAGAGAATGTATTAAAGCTGCTTGTTTTGCTATGATGCATAATTAAAGACTTGTCTAAAGTCTGCTCCTCTTCCTTCTGCTTTACTTGATTTTTTAATATATTTTGCATTCAAATTTCTTAATAGCAGATCTGATTATATTTTGTATACAACTTCCTAATAGCACAGCTCTTATATCACACAGTCTAATAGATGATTGTCTTTAGGTCAACACCAGCAGTCAGTGGAGCCCAGAAGGGTGGGATTACAGGGTACAAAGTATGTCGATCTGTACATAAAGAATGGTGTATGGATTTGTAGCTAAAGTTGTAACAAGCAGTCAAATTTTATGTCTAACATATTCCATTGTTCTGATGGACAGTTAAATGTATGGAATAAGATCAGATGGTAGAACATTACCTTTTACATAATATCTGAAATTTTCATCCTGAAAGATACTTTAGAGATCCTTTATTTTAACCTCCCACCTACTCTGCTGCCTCTCCTTGTTTTCAAGATAAGAATATTAAAGGATGAGAATTTTAAGTGACTTGTTTAAGAGTGGATGAGTGGTTATGTGTGGGGTGAAAGGTATTGGATTAAACCCTGGCTTTATGATTCCTACGTCAGTACTCTTTCCACTTCATCATGCTGTTTTCATGTCATGCCATCTCAGTGTTAGAGGGATTTTAAAAGCCTGGCTTTTGTGGAGACTGTCAGAATTGAGGGTCTGCAGTAAGTGGCAATGTTTAGGAAAAAGAAATACTGTATTACAGTAAAAGGGTGGTTTTTGAGGATTTAAGAAATTGCTTCCAATTGGTCTTTCTATCCCTAGTATGAAAGTAGACTTTAAAACTGCAGCCATTGAGGGCCAAGATGAAACATTTTTGCATAGTGCTGCTACTGCTGATTAGCTGAGATAATAGCAGGCAGGATCCCATTTTAACAGATTATACCTGAACTGTATAGCTGTTAATATATAGTAACAATAACCACCTGAATTAGGCAACAGTGTAAGCTACTATAACAAAGAGACCCAAAAACACAGTGGCTTAAGCAAGATAAAGGAATTTCTCTGTCTTTTAACAGTGAGAGTAGGCTATACATCCTTAACCACAGCTTCCATCTGTGTATCCTAGGTGGCTGCTCCAGCTTCCACCGTCATATGTTGGCATCTCAACCAGTAGGAAAGGAGAAAAGTCAAGGGGAACTGAGAGCCATTCCTTTTAATCCATTATTGCTTACATTTCTTTAGCCAGAACTCACTTTCCTGGCCACACTTAGCTGCAAGGGAGACTCAGAAATGAAGTGCCAATGCCCACCTAAAACTTGTGAGTTCTATCGTTAAAGAGAAAAGGGAAAAATTAACATTGGTGCCTCAGCTGCATTCTCTGCCAGACCAACCCATTAAGAGATTGCACCTGGAATCTCTGTTTTATTGGCACCACAACACACTGAATCATAGGGCTACTGGCCATATAACCAAAATTAAGTCAAACCAGTTGCTGTTGAGTCAGTTCCAACTTACGGTTACCCCATGTGTTGCAGAGTAGAACTACACTCCATAGGGTTTTCATGATTGTGACCTTTAGGAAGTAGATCACCAGGCATTTCTTCCAAGGTTTGAACTTCCAACCTTTTGGTTAGTAGCCAAGCACTTAACCGTTTGCACCACCAAGGACTCCGCTGGCCATATGCACTGTTATAAATATTTACATTTAGTATTTTATATGTCTTTGGGGAGTATTCCTAGCTAGAAGAAGTTGGAAGCCTAGCCTTGGTGGCACAGTGGTTCAGTGCTCGGCTGCTAACAGAAAGGTCAGCAGTTTGAACCCACCAGCCACTCCCTGGAAGAAAGATGTGGCAGCCTACTCCCTTGGAAACCTTATAGGGCAGTTCTGCTCTGTCCTTTAGGGTCACTATGAATTGGAACTGACTTGACGGCAATGAGTTTGGGTGTTTTTTTTTTTTTTTTTTTTTTGGTCAGTGGTAGTAAAGAAAACAAACGATAATCTGTGTACATGTTAGAATGTTTTGAGGAGATTCATGTTATCTTTAGCCCAAATTTAAGTAAAAGTTTTACTCTATTGAAATAGCCATCATGCAGCCTATTTTTTTCTTATGAACAGTCAGCTTTTCCATTATTTCATAATTTCAGTCAATTCGATAAAAAATAGAATGTGAACAGTTTATCATAGCTTACTAGTGGAAACTATTATTTTTAAGATATCTGTTACAGACATTGTATTAATTTTTAAAAATAAAATGCTTTCAAGTGCACTAATACAGTATAGAGGAGCCCTCATGGTGCAGTGGTTAAAAGCTCGGCTGCTAACCAGACGGTCAGCAGTTTGAGTCCACCAGCCATTCCTTAGAAACCCTTTGGGGCAGTTCTCTTCTGTCCTATAGGGTCACTGTGAGTTGGAATCAACTCGACGGCAACAGGTTTTGGTTTCTGGAATATAGTATAGTAAAAGATTCACTTTTGTTAACACTTAGAAGCTATTTTGGTCAATCACTTTAATCTATATGCAGAGA